ACCTTGAAACTGCCGCCCTACCTGGAAATACTCGCAGGTTGTTTCAGTTCTTTCTGATCATTAGTCACAGAAGGTGTGGTGTCAGCGGTTATCTGCGAGGCGGATGGGTCACAAATCATCAACTTGCAGAGGCAGACGGGTTGAGCCATTTCAATTCAGTTCTTCCCCGACGTCCACTTTCGCACTTAGCTCGTTCCGTCGTACGCCATGGGAGGTGTCACTCGAAACCCTACTGGGGCCGAAGTCCGCCTTGACATTAGGCATTCGAAGCGCTATAAGGCTGCTGGATCAAAGGTGATTTCTCCAAAACTGTTTACATATGGTAATGAAAAAAATCGTCATTCAGCTATTAACCCTATTTCTAGAAAAGAAGAAAGAGAAGAAAGGTTTCCCTCTTTATGGCGAGAGCCAGTTAATGTCCCAGGCTCCTGGGTTTCAAGTTCCAAGCATAGAGGAATCCGCCTGATACCAGTTGTCTCCAAGCTGCTAGCATCTATCATGCTACGCAGGCTATCGTTAACTCGCAAGGCATACTATCGGGATGAGCAGGTTGGTTTCCGCCCCGGTGGAAGTTACGCGGATCAAATATTCACACTTCGTCAGCTCCTCGAATATTGCTACGTGTACCGCAGACCTACCATTGTCGGCTTCCTGGACATTTGGGCTGCATTTGACTCAATAGACCGGTCTGCCTTTTGGCATTGCCTACTAAGGAAGAGTCCCGATAAAGTACGTCGTTATTCTTCAGGCGCTACATCTCTATACTGCAGGCTAAGAGCATACGGCAAGCTCTTCACAATCTTCACTGTCACCAGGGGTGTGCGACAAGGATGCCCTGTCTCCATTTCTTTTCAACTTCGCTATCGAAGAAGTCCTGATGGGAATTTTAGGAGGTTTTCAGAATTCGGGAATTGAGCTCCTTCCAGGTAATCGTGCAACTGACTTAGATTACGCTCAGTGACGACCCTCATGGTATGCAATTGATGCTTCACCGACTGGTAACTGAAGCGTCTAAGTATGGTATGTACATTACCCCCTCAAAGTGCTGGCACAGGATCGGCAGAATATTCCCCCTTAACTCACCATCGAAAACACTCGGTTTGAGTAGGTGGATTATTTTGCTTACTTAGGGATCAGTGTCTCTACCGACGGAACTATTGGAAAGGAGGTGTCTCTCCGTATCGCTAAAGCCCGCTCGGCCTTCGCCGATTTGACACATTCGTGGCGTCGTCGCGACATCTCGCTTTTGCTAAAAGGCAGGGTTTACAATACGTGTTCGCGCAGTACAATGTACAGATGCGAATCCTGGCCGATCCGAGTGGATGACATGCGTAGGCTTTCGGCCTTCGACAACGGCTGTCTGCGGAGGATCGCCCGGGTGCACAATGATGATTTCAGACAACGAGCCTTTGGCAAGTCGGATCTCCCGAGCTATGAGTTAGTTCTATTGCCCCAGCTGAGATGGCTTGGCTACGCCCTGCGCATGCCAACTGAGGGTTTTGCGGGCGATTACCAAGCCGCGCCCCATTTATGTATGCAGCGTTGCATTAGAAGAGATCAGGTGGAGAACGGTCCGACCAGTTGGAGACAAAGCATCAAAGCGCTGACATCCTGTCTTTCAATTGCTGTCCGGTACGTCTTCCTGGTTTGCGACCGAAAGATGAAAAATGCCGATGGCTTACAACACTAAAAACAATGGTACAAAAGCAATTACAGTGGAAACAATGCGCACAAGTCTGCGTGAACTTCCGATTTCAAAAGTACTAACTCCTTAAAAATGACTCAGAAACGGCGTGTGAAAGGGACAAAAAAGTTTTCTTTTTGATACTTCATTACTTTTCGACATCGCTGTACATATTCCTGTTCCCAGTTAAATTTCCATGGTTTTGAATGGCTCATTGTCTGTTTTATACTGATCTTAATATATACTTAAAAGTCCATACCAACCACCTAGCTGAGGTTCTGAAGAGCCCAGGGGACCTCCTTATGCATTCATATCCCCTTCAACAACAAGGATATCAAAACTGGTAACACTGCGAAGCAGCGTGTTCAGATCGTGGTAGGTGTCCTTGAAAGCCTTAGAACTGCAGCTTTCGGAGGCATAAGCGGAAAACACAAACAGTGTCTTGGATTACTTTGTAAATGAACCGTAGTTGATGTCATCGAACGGGTGCTCATAGGAATCCAAACAACCAACGATGGCGTAGACTTGGAGCTGAAAACGATGTCCACTACACCTTGGCTAGGGGTTGTCGTATCAACTTCTCCTGATGCGCGTAAGCAATAGTGAGACAAGCCGGGCGTAGTTTGTTTAACAACCCCGTGCAACAAAAGTTGAGACCCAGGATGTCCAACGTAGGCAGGCAGTCACTGTTCGTATTGGCTGAGACAATGCCATACGGTTTGAATACGTCCGTCCCAACCACAGCAGCACGCCAACGCGCGCGTTGAAATCACCAGTAGGAATAGTCGGTCGCTCCTTGGCACGGACTGTATCACGGAGGACAACTGAGTGTAAAACTGTTCCATCATGTCGTCAGGATAACATGATGGGCCCATACGTCCAGTTGGCTGTGACATCAGGTGGTTGGCTAGGCGGTCGGATGGTGCGAATCCGAACCCATGTCCACGTGATGCTGTGGTGAAGTTTCCTACATATTGAAGCAACCCTTTCCTGACGAAATTTTCAGTAAAAACGTTAACACCAAAGCACCGCAAGATTTAATTCCGGACAAATTTCTCTGCATATTCTCGAGTGCGTACTACAGAACACGTGGAAATTAATAGCAGCATGAAGAGCTAAGAAAGTTGAAATAGCAAATGCACCAATATACGTACACCCACATACACGCGCAGACACGTCTTTGACAACTCTTCAGCTGTCTATTGGCTTGCTACGAAGAAACGGCATGCGATCATTCTGCTCTCGCTCTATTGTCACCATGATGCTTTGATGCAGGTCATTTAATCTGATGTTCAGTTGCGTTAGTTGTTCTTCTTGATCACAAATGATCAATATATCGTCCATGTATCGGCGAAATAGAACGGATTGGTGGATTTTGTCCTTGACTTGATTTTCAAGGTGAGCAATGAAAATATCCGTTAAGAGCGGTCCGAGTGGACTATACATTGCAACACCATCCGCCTGCAGAAACCCTTGCTTTTGAAAATAGGACTTCATATTCGATGTATTTAGCAGCAAGAGCCGTTCTATTTCGGACAGTGGAATACGCAGTTCTGATTGGCTGTCATATATATATATATATATATATATATATATATATATATATATATTTGGTTGGCGGCATCCGGTTCCGGATTTGCCTGTCACTGTGGCCAGCCACAGGACGCCTGCGCCTACAGAGGGACCATGGATGGCTTGCGCTGCACCACCCACAGTTCCAACCACATATCCAGTGTAAACCCGAAGGAATAAGACCGGGAGGCATGCGGATGGGAACCAAGTTTCATCAACGGAGCCGACCCACACTCCTTCACAGGAATACAAAAGCACGCTGTATTTGGGAATCAAGCGCACACACAAGGAGATGGCTGGACCGCAGTCCGCTTCACACAGAGTGCATGGAACCACTCTTTGATCCTAACACGGCCACAAGGACCGTGCACTCCGTCCCCTCCAGCGACGACCAACTATCTCCTAGAGCCAGTATGGACAAGGTAGTGGGTAATAGACAGGTAGGCACCTTGTCAACATGCACATCAAGCGCAGCCACATCGCGGATATTAAACAACAGCCAATCAGTTGAGATACGAGAGAGAGAGATACAAAGAAAATAACTCGATTAATGCATAAGGAAACGTGATATAAACCTTAAATTAATGAGCATTTGAAATAAGTTGTTTACAAAAGAAATCCTAGATAAGTTCACGAGGTCAGAAAGTGTACTTTACGGAAATGCCACGAACACAAAAATGCTATGTAAATCGAATACAATTGGCTTAAGTGAGGTGCGCAAGTTAATGGAACAGAGTACAGGTAGACATTTATATGAGAAAAAAAGCATTAAGGCAACATTAAAAACCCACTACCTGAAATAAATAGAGTTAGCATGCAAGCACGCGGTTAGTAAATCGAATGCAGTGTACCTATGAACGCTGCGCCGGTTCTGCCTACGTTCTCTGCAGGACCCGTCGTCGCTTCTGTTGTGGTCCCGAGTGGCCTCGCTTATGGCTCACTAGACATTTTGTCCTAATGCCTTTCTTGCTCATATATATATATATATATATATATATATATATATATATATATATATATATATATATATATATATATATATATATATATAAACTCAAAGCCAGAGAGCGTTCATGCGACCCTCTGCAATTAATTAGGCCAGGCGTTGGTAAATCAAGAGAATAGTCAAATGGAACTCAGTTGTCGTCTAGGGAAGGACCAAAAGTAAAAAGACGAGATTAGTTGTTTTTAGTATGAAGTAGAGAGTGATGGCGTGGTACGGCAGAGACGAGGGTACTCGGCTATTCCCACCTCAAAGAGATATGGACCAACATAGTCGGTGTATGTTATCGTTAGATACCAACGGGCCGAACCGTCTAAACAGTGACGGCTATCTACAATTCGAAGCGACGTGGACCAACGTAGATTCGATAACCAAAATCAAGAGTGGACACAACATACAAGGCGAAGCATTCAGCGAAATTCACTGAGGGCTGGGACATAGATGTCAGAGTAAAGTGACCATATACCGCCTGAGATGGTTGAGCCACGAGAATGCCAACAGTGGAAAAAATTAAAGTTGGCCGGTTAACCACGATGAAGACTGGCCACTAGTGAGTTAGGAAACGGGAAAGATGAATTCGTGAAACAATGGTGGTAGCTGTCAAGCCAGACAAAAGAGAATAGCGAGCCGAGTAGAAAAGGGCACAAAGGAGCAAACAAACTAACTGCTTAAATGAGGTAGACTGCTATGGTTGCTGGACATAGCATGATAAATGTAAATGGTTACGCGGTTTGTGTGCACCTGTTGCATCACAGCGTCTTGTCTCGGGTCGTCTTTCCCTTTGACCAACTGACGTCGTTCACGACCATCTGTGCCAAGGCAGGTGACGATCTTGGGCAAATTGATTCCGCCAGCGAGACGGAACTTTGGAGCGAATCCAGCGATACGTACGAAACTCGATGGGGGATATTCACCGGAACGGTCTATTCGCAAAGTGGCCGTTGGCACTGCGACCAAATCAAGACTTTCATTGGACGCGGAAGCACCATGGCGGGTGGAGACCACAAATCGCTGTAGTTTGCAGTTGGACGGCAAGGCAACAGCATCTGCAAAGGTCATCGTGAAATAAAGGGATGTTTACAGTGAGATAAGATAAATGAACGCACGTAACATATGACAGAAAGGGGGTGAACAGAGCATGAGGAGCAAGAAAAGAGGGGTCGTTGGTTACCTGTGTTACCTTTGTGCGCGTCCACATCCGCATTGGCCCATTCCACGTAGGCTTCAGCAAGAGACTGCATTTGTCTCAACAACGGACCACGCCTCCCATCATATAGTCGGTTGAGAACACGACGAGCAGCATTAGCGCGTCCGTGATGCTCCGAAACGGGTCGTGGCTTGTGAACATGAAGAGAACAGAGGAGATGGGATTAGGAGATATGCGCTTCGAAGACAAATCCATATGGCAAGATGCTAGTGAACCATATAGTACCAAATTCTTAGAAGCTGTGCACTGGATTTGCAAGGTACAGGGTAGAAAGCAGATAGTGAGCTCTAGAGGACCTGGACCGAAGGACCAAAGTAGTATCGTCTGATCCGGAGTGCCTTGTGTTCCCTTGAATTCAACCAAACGAGGAGAAATGGCTATGGCTTTACAATGCTGTGCACAGGTAGTAAAGGAAACTAAGCAGGCATCTTGTTGCCTAGTCAGACACGTTCAGGTACTTCATACGGCAGGGTGGCCACCGGAGTAGTAACTCAAACTACCACATACCAGAGTTGAATGGTAACGCCGTAAATACGGGCGTTAGTTGAGCGAGTAATGGGACAGTGCGCTGCATCGATTGATGCTATGGACCCGCACTGAAGGGACTGCACGAAAAGCAGATGCCACATTACACGTTGCTACAGTGCATCGGAAAGAGGTAGACCCCATTGAGGGGCGGAATAACGTTAATATTACTCATGTCGCCAAGTTGAATTATGGGTAAAAAGTGTCACACAAACAAATATGGAATGCAAACAATTCATCATGGTCCACTCTCAGCCAGCAGGCTATGGCAAGTCTGGAAAAGCATCAGATACCGGTGTTTCGACCTTCTGCGTCTCGTCAGTGGTGCGCCTTCCGTCCCCATGAATTCCTGATTCCAGCAGCTAGTGTCACTTCACTATGGGTAGCAGCCTCGGAGCTGCATGATTGACAGTTGAATGTGATATACCCCGACTCGTCTTGCATTAGTAATAAAATATAAAATGCTTACCCTACAAAGAAAATTAGACAAAAGGAGAATAGACGAGGGAGAATAATGCGGAAAAAGTACAAAGAAAGAGAAGAGGACGCAAAATCCATCCGTGAACATTTACAGAAAAGAGTTAAGACATACCGGTGCTGAATTGGATTCAGTAGTCATCCGTGATGCACGGGATCGTTGTGGGGCTGCAAAATTTCGTGCAGATTTGTCATTTTTCGGCGTGACATACAGCTCATCCAAGTCAGCGTTCACCAGAAAAAGTAAAATAAATGCCGAATGGTGCGGATGCCATTCGGTTACGCGTTCGACAAGCTGAGGTGAGCAGAAAGGATGAGGGAATTAAAACTAAGTAGAATTGCAACAGTACGGGTGAAAGATGCACAAGAAAATGTAACAAATAACACTTGCACCAACTTCCACTCAGATGCATGGGAGCCAACACCGTCCGGTTGCAAAGGTATAGACAGCTAAAGGGGTTGGATCGAAACGAGTTTTTCGGAGGCACCATCGCATGCTCCTGAGTGTGGAGATGCAGCCAAGATGGACCAAAGAGATCAAACCGATATGGCTCGATTGCAAGTGAAAGAAAGGTAATCAGTCCCGGTTTGTGATACGTGTTTGTTCTTGGGCAACGCGATGCCAAATCCCGAGATAGCATGTCAAGTTGTTGGGATGTAGATCATAGTTAGCGGACACCGAAAGAGGCCAACCAGTATAAATGTCAAAAAAGCAACCCAAGCGAGGTTATTCTGCTAAAAAGCATCCCGCATTGGCGCTCGCGTCACCAGAGACGAAAACAACATTTGTGCGCGTAGTCAGTGTGGCAAAATACAACAGTCATCGTTAGGATTCGTGCCCAAATGACCTCTGAGGCAAGAAAACTGTGCCGTCATTCATTGCTTAGAAGTCGTGAACACGACACAGTAAAACTGTGTGTGTGAGCCAATACACTGCCAGCATTCAAGTATGCCACGGATTAGGTACGCAGCCTGTCCGATTGTGATACCATACATGTACTGAGTTATTGGTTCGGTGTTAACAGAAGTGAGAAATGTCACTGGAATTTAAGCCAATCAGTTAAAGGTTCACCCCGTTGCCGCTCTTCTGTGCGCATGGTAAGGACAAATGGAATGAACGGGGGGAATTTCCGCTCCGCAAAACTGTGTTGCTCACCTAGCACACTGAGGTAAGCAAACCGACAGCATTTGAGACCAGTCAGAGCATAGTATGCACTGAACTGCGAGGACCAACAATAAGAGAATAGGATGTAGCTAATGAACAACTGAAGATAAAGCGAACATCAGGGAAAGAGGTGAACCACTTTTAAAAACAATGACTGGCAAATATCAGTCGGAACACCAAAATGATGTATCGAGGCAAGTGTTACGGGGAGGACAGAGGAAGAGCAAGTGTTTTCGGGTACGAACTATTACGTAAAATGTCGCTGATTTATTCGTTCCCCCAACAGTTGTATCCTCCAGACGCGGATAGAAAGGAGAAGTATAAGAAACGGGTTTTCCGGGCAACTGCAC